TTGTGTCCCGACGAGAATAATGAATAGTAACTGTTGGAATCTATTTATGGACTAAAATTACACATATATTCTTATTGTATCACTATTCAGTAACTAGATTATGTATATCTATATTCCTCGTATTATAAGCTTTACTTTGATCCGTAGACTATTATTATACGACTTACCGTTCTCAAGTTATGCCCAGTCTATTTATCACAGTCTCCTACAGCTACTTTTGGCTAGATCTTTTACAAATGTTATTTTTCTATTTTATGGGTCAATGTGGTCTGCTTGGTTTGTAATATAAACCCAGTATGTTTGAAATATATAATTCATATCACGAAGGCTGAGATTGGTATTCTGAACTCAATAGTCAAAGTTAGGAAGGAAGAAGAACTGACAAAGATTCTTAACTGATTGTACGGTTTTGTATGTCATTTGTTCGGTCGATAAATCACTGTGCTCTAATTAGCGGTATCATTACGTTGTATGTTAATAAGACGCAAGGTATAACAATTTGAAATGAAGAAAGAAAAAGGAGTTTATAATTTTAAGAAAGATGATTATAATTCATCAAAAAAGAAATTCTTAGAATAGATAAATACTACTGAATACTCTTTAGAAAGTAGTAAATAATTGTACCAACTGATCGTGAAGAATATAAAATTGATAAAATAAATATGTTATATTGAAGGAACTTTTTTAATGGAAGGAAACAAGATAGTTATCCGCTATGAATTAAATTAGTTTGTAGATAGAATTACTCATAGATTGATTTCAGTTGAAATACTGTTGAATACCCCAGAGCACTTGATATCTTTTCTATACAAAGATGAAACTAAAGAAATATCAACCGAGACTTCATCACAAATAGAAGAAAGGAACTTCAAATCTAATGAAGACTACCTTACTTTAGAAAACCTGAAAGCACTGGAAGGCCGTTTCATCCTATTATGGTGATTTAGCTTCAAATGACTTATGATCTCAACTATTAAAATTACTATAATATGCACACACCCCTTTCTGATATTAATCAACATATGCTCACTAGTGACTGGCTTCATAAGGTATTTTCTGACGTTCTAATGAGAAACAGTGACCAGTGAAGTTCAAACACGTCTGTTGTGAGATAGTAACTCACTGAAGACAAAGGTGGATGTGTCGCTGAATTTCATGAACCAGTTGAAGTTAGACATTAACACCGTTGGATACCGACTCAGTGGTCTAGAGATTAAGCGTTCGCATGCGAAACTGATAGGTCTTGGGTCCGAATTTCGTGAGGCGGGAGCCCCATACTAGGATAGTACAGTCGTCAAGTACTTAAAGGTTTTCCATGGTAGTGTAGTTTCAATTGACTCATGATCTTAACTATTCAAATAGAGATGTATTTCAGTGTTTAAGATCACATTTCACGTATTCCTTGAACAGATTAAAATTGTAAACTTTTACTTTTCCTATAGTACAACTTGTATTATATTGTGGTCTACTTATATCCATATAAGTAGTTTCTAATATGTTTCTTTTTAATTTTTCTTACAACAGAAATAGCTGAACATCATAATGTTGAAGATATTTTAAATCTTGCTAGACATTTTTCAAAGATTGTTCAAAAGCTGACTAATAAAAAAAATGAAAATTAATTTATACTACTTATATTACTTATATTCAATGTAAAATGATAATTGAATCAATCAATATATATTCATATTCATAATCTTATATACAATTTCATTCATATATATATATATAATCGTTTTCAATTTATATATAGGCTGTAATCTTTATTGTTTAACCTTTTTTGTTTTGTTTTTCTTTTTTTTCTTTTTCTTTTTTCGATTTTGTTTATTTTTTTTTTATTGTTTTAATGTTGTTTTTGTTTTTGTTTCTGGGCTTCATTTGATAATCTACTCGTTTGTTTATTTTATATAAATTGTTATACATCAATAAGATTTTGAGTAAACTTTTTTTTTAAATTTTGTTTCTTTTTTTTGTTATTTAGTTTTTCATAGAGAAAAATATTTAATATAGTTGAAATCCTAAGTCGATTATAGCTAGACGACGATGGAAAACTTGGAAGTAGTGGATGGCCATTTTATCTTATTGTGAGACTCCTCAGCAGTGCGTATCCACGATTCCGCCATACGAGATTCGAACCCAGGATCTATCAGTCTCACGCGTGAGTGCTTAATTTCTAGACCACTGAGCCGGCAAAAATATTATTCAATTTGATAGATACTGTATTTCAAACTAAATCTAGATTGAAGCAAGTAGACAAATAATAGATGAAGCTGAAGTTGGCTAGAGTTTTCTTTTCAATTTTAATGGTTGTGCCGTCAAACGCCCTGGTACAGCCGAGAGTGGGGATTGCCTGCCCTTTCTCACGAAATGGTCTCACACGGCTACGCGTATACAGCCTCAGTCAGGGAAGTCCTACTCACTCTTTTTTCGCACCACGGGTGTTGTTTACGAAATTGAGAGGACGAAAAACGAATGTCCGGCGCTTTAATAGCGTTGGTAGACATGGAAATTTCACCTAGGGGAATTGAGAAACCCTGATTCCAAACCAATGGTGCACATGGGCTCCAGTATCCTGAGGAAACAAATGGCGTATGAATCAATCGTTGGTGATCGGCTACCATGGGACTGCATCTCCTCACGATGCTCCACTGCCTTGTAGATTAGAACTTTAGGTCAACGCCTCTGTCTGCCTCCTAAAGAAAACCATCTACTTCGGTTTGGGCACCTACGCAGTATCATAGCCCTAACGCAATTAAATGAAATGAAAATTTTTTGTGTTGCGCATATATATCTGGCGCCCCCTTGTACCAATATTTATGTGTTCAAATAAATAAAAAAAACAAATTTAAAGGTTGAATTAACAAGTCAATTAAGGCTAGACCACCATAGAAAACAAGGAAGCACTGGATGGCCGTTTCATCCTAGTATGGTATTCCTCAGTGGTGCTCATCCACGATCCCGTCCGCGAGATACAAACCGAGGAACTTCCGATCTCTCTGAAGAATCTCATACTAGGACAAAACAGCCGTTCACTGCTTTCAAGTTTTCCATGGTGGTCTTGCTTAAATTGATTCATGCATTCAACAATTAAAATTACTATATTGATAATAAATGATAATAATTATGTTTTAAACAAAATCATTATCATTATTGGAGGTCATTCATTTCATTTTTGTAAAACCTGAAAAATAAATTACATCAAATTGGCTCATAGTCACATAGACAAAACGACTGATGAATTTTCCTAAAATTCTTTCTCTATGAAACATTCAATCATATTCATCGGTCAGAAAGTTAATAATATAATCGTTTTAGTTTCAAGTTATATTTGCTCAATAATTATTAATTTCAATCAATCCATGACAGTGTGCGACCATGTTCCATTATTTTCGAAGGATAACTGTCTCCCAACTGAAACAGATTAGCTCCGTTGGTCATGACTTCTCACTAGAACTCAAGGAGATTCTTCTCAAAGCCAGTTACTAGTGTCCGTACAATAATCGTCAGTGATAAGTTGTGGGAATTTTTGAATTTCATTGATATCATCAATAGATCTAAAACATTTTCCCGTTGGCTAACAACTCAGTGGTTTAGGGGTCAAGCAATCGTTCGCAAAACCGAAGGTCCTGGCCTCAGTTCTCTCATGCGGAGTCATGGATGCGCACTGTTGGGGAGTCCTAAATAGAACGAAACGTTTGTCCAGTGTTTGCAGGTCTTCAATGATGGTCTAACTGAGATCTGTTCATGATTCTAATGAAATTTAACAATCCTCACAGCACCTGATAGACAATTTTTTGTCTCATTATCATTTACTCAGTGAGATATCCAATGGAGTTGCTTATTACCGTAATCAGTTATATTTATTTAAATATGAAGATAGTCTTTTCATTGCTTTGGGACTATCAAGTAATATGTATTTACTATATTCAAGATGAAAACAACTAATGTAGCAGCAACTTCTGAATTGGTAGACCTCAACATACACAAGGGAAAAAAACGAAACCCTCAAATACAATACAGAAAACATCTACGCAATCACACCTGATGCAGAAACTCTGGATGATATGGAAACATTCACGCACCTGGGTAGCCTCATTGATGAACAAGGAGGATCGGATACAGAAGTAAAAGCGAGGAATTGTTTTTAAATGGTCAAACAGTAATCTCTGAACTTATAAAAAACATCCCCTGTCCATCACAATTAAACCGGAAGTTAAAGACAAGAAAAGATTATTAACATATATGAATGAATGGAGTTAGATACAATGAAAGCGGAGTAATATGTGGGCGAGAATAACAATGATCGGCTGTTTTGCTGAGTCCGACATGCAGATAATGTGACAGATGTTATATGTGCCATATATTCCCCTATCCTTACTATTTATTATTATTATTGATTGACTGTTCTTGCTGTTGGATTGTGTTGGATTTTGGTGTGAAATATATTGACGTTATAGTCAGGCTAATCACGTGTTCTTGATCTGAGTTGTGTTGAAGTCCTGTAGAATAGACACTGGGTGAGAATCTAGTGTAGATATTCGTCCGAGGTGAATTAACGACCCACATACATGTAGAAAGTGAAAGGACTGTTATAACAAGAAACCCTAGTGTTATAACAAGTATCCTATTGTTTATAACAATACAAAGCTATTATCTTTAGATCTAATCCAATGGACTTTCTGAAAAACCAACCTAACTAGTTATTATATCATTACTTATGAATAATTCATTCTTGTTATTGTAATATTTGAATGTTTCCATGGTACCTAATCGTCTGTATGTACTTTTTATTGTGAATGACAATACTTGATCATTCACCAATGTTGATTACTTTACCACAGATATTTTTTAAGCAAAAACAACTACTTAAACTAAACTGCTGTCAACATTTAATGGAATTATCAGAAGGGGAATTTGTGGCGATTTTAGCAATTTTATAGAGTTGAGATCATGAGTCAATTGAAGCTAGATCAACATGGAAAATCTGGAAGGATTGAACGGCCGTTTCGTCCTATTGTGGGACTCCTCAGCAGTGTGCATGCGTGATCCCGCCTTTCGAGATTCGGACCTCAGGGCCTATCAGTCCCGTCAAAAAATTAAATAAAACAAAAAGAAAACTCCATAAACAATCTCATTATATCACATAAAATGAATTTATATTAGTACAGATAATCTGATGCATACATTAATGAAGAAATATATTAGGGGGCATTTTTCTCTCATTCAAACTGTATCTCTTTATAAAGAAGATCTCATTATATGATAAACGAAATATTGTGAAAGTATATGTAAACATGCCGTTTGTTTGTTTGTTTGTTTTCCATTGTGTCTTAGTAACTATTTGGGGGGGGGGATTAAGGTTGCCAAGTGATAACAGATAGAGCTATTTTTGCATGTTTTGCTACAGCAGCATTGATATCAGTGACATGTGGTGATATCTGGAAAAAAATTAGAATAAAATGATTATTTTAAAGAGTTTTGTGGAAATTGGTTAAATTTTAGTTGGGATACTATTGAAAATCAGAGAGTTGTTGATGAGAACCGCGAAACAAGAAGCCTTAACAAACTACTGAAGCTATTTTTGGGGACGTTATTTCATTTAATTTAAAGCTTGTATAACAGTAACATTTACTTTTGCCCCTAGTCTATTCTACAGATCATGAGCTTTCGTTTGATGTATGATTCACTGCCATAGCATTTTCTGTTCCAAAGCTATTGTAATTTAGACGTAACCTTTTGTACTCTATTTTCTACTCTAATCCCCCAGTTTTGGACATAATTGTATTTTCCTAATTGTTGTACGTTGTGGTCAGGTTATTCATCTATTTATTCATGTATCTTATTTTTACATTAATCCGAATTCGGAATTCGAGTGCTAGATCGGGATTGGAATAAAGTGATTATTGTTCCAGTTGTCCTTGTCTTCTCTCTCGCGCGCGTGCTTGCCAGCCAATCAGGGGTAGAATAGTTTTCGTCTCTCTACCCCCACTTCGAACTCACGCATACTAGCCTCAAGGTTAAGCCAGTCAGCCTATCGCGTCAAGGTCTTAATCTACATTAGACAAGTTATACTCGGCACTAAAGTGGGTAGGCAGATTCAAGGACGTAACAGTTGTGGACATTTATTTTTGTATGACAATGGTCAGAAATGCCAATCAATGACCAACTCGTCTCTTAATGAATGCTTGAGTATTAGAAACACTCAATCAGCATCTGGCCGAATAATTTCAGCTTTACCCAGTTTATGAATGGCATTCAGACCAGTTTGAAATGAAACAGATGATCGTAATGTGGTGTATGCTGCTTATGGTGATAGATATAAGCTCTCGCAAAGGTGTTTGCAGGACTGCACCCTCTCCGCCTCCTCTTTGATAGTGACACCAAGTGTAGTGAACATAAACTCAGGTAGGAAAAACCAATTTACTGTTTCCGTAAAATATGAAAATCATACATTACATTCATCATTTACATATCTGTCATCAGTTGTCTTTTACGTACTTCATCATTCTTCCAATTATGTTGATATCCCAATTGCTCTGTTTCTCTTCCTACTCTCTTCAATTCAGTCTTCTGGTGGTAGGCATTTCATTTCCGATTGCTGTTACGTAATACTTATATCTGTCAGCATAAGCAATATACACCACAGTAATGCTATATTACAAACTGAATAAAGCTGAAATTACATCATTGGATGCTGATCCACTGGTTTTAATGGCCAATAGTTCTCTGTCAGACTAGAAAGTCATTAAGTCGGTCTCCCACAGGGTCATTAGGAAGTGGTTTCGCGCAGCCTCAAACCAAGACGAAACAGCTATCCACTACTCGGTGATTTTTAATGGTACTTCATATGAGATCAATCAGTGACGAATGTAACTTACGAGCAAAATAAAATAGTTAAAAACTTTTTCGGATGATATACTCAATTATTTTCAGAAGATTTAGTAACTGTTAAGACCAACTGATACTCCTTGACAGGTTTATGGACCTGACTGCTTAGAATACGTACCATACGCCATAGATGTGGAGGCTTGATTTAACAGTTTTGAATTGAAGTTAAAACTCACTTGGAAAAGCTTAATGTTAACACCTCTGAATGTCACTGTGGATGACGTCAATTCAAACCACATGACAAGAATCACTCCCCTAACTATTTTCCGTATCTTTTTACCAATATATCCTAACTAACATGAAACCCAAATATATGTTACCATCCAGTGCTTCCAGGTTTACAATGGTGTTTCTAACACTGATCGGTCCATGATCTTAATTAAAATTTTGCATTCACAAAACCAAAATAAAAATGAAACATACTTTATTTAAATGATCCAACAGAATCCTTCGACCTTCAGGTGTCTCAGATAAACAAGTTAGAACCTAAAGTGAATGAATAAGATTGTAAAATTTAAATCTACATACTGTCAATCTTATGACTTTGAAGTGGAATTCGTATGGAAATCTGATTCTATCAAAAGTGAACAATATAATATCGATTCCTACCTCATCAACCACCCAAACATCCATAACTGGTAGTCTGAGTTTGACCTCAGCGTTATTCATTCCACTTGACACAACATACGCGAATAATGCTCTAAAGACATATGTGATCAAATACTCAATTGCACAAGCAAGTAGCTATCTGGACTCAGTAACTAAGTGGATAATGCGATGGTGTTTGAAGCGAACGGTAATGGGTTCAAGTGTCGGTGTGCACATCCATTCTGAGATGTAGGTACATCCAACCGATGAGTACCGAATGGGACGAAATGATCATCCTGGGCATGAAATATTCAGAAGATTAAAATTCGGACGAACATAAAGAGTGGATGCACCTTCGCCATTGCAAACGATTTTGAGCCATGTCATTCAAGGTCTCTAACCATCGGTTGCTGTCATCTCGCGAATCCCAACCAGATAGTCTACACCTACCAACATGGCTCAGTCTACTTGTCAGTAAGTGACTTCATGGATTTGTGCCACGTTTTGGTCTGGCCGCCCCTAGCTTTCTTCCAACCTACTCCTATACCATAAAACATCGCTCATCGGAGCAGTCAGTGGTTGGGCATACGTAACACGTGTCCCAGCCATCTCAACTGATGAAGTTTCAGTACTTCATCAATCGATTTGCCATCTTTACCTAGTACCCGTTTCCTAACATCTGCATTACTTACTCAGTGGTCCCAGGATATACGAGCAGTGCTTCGAAGACACCTATGGTCGAATATCAGCAGCCTACGAATATCCTCTACTCTTATCAGCCTTGTTTCACTGTCATAAAATAGGACGGAACGAACTGCTGCACAGTAAACCCGTCATTTGGTAGCTAGACGGATATCTCGCCTACGCCATAAATGAAGCAAGTTGGCGAAAGCTAGACGAGCCTTCTGTATCCGTGCTGAGATTTCGTCACACACTGAGATTTACATGAAGTATAAAAAGGATTGACTTTTAGCTAAATTTGAAATTATTTTGACAAAAAATGATCAATCAATAATTATTGTTTGATTTAGGGATATATTTGAATTTTGATGATGTTGTTATTTAGTTATTCCCTCTTTTTATAAATAAGAGATTAAATGAATACTGTAATTAGTTCAAGAATCACTATCTCAAACATGTTGGTATAGATTATTGATGAGTTTATAGGTATCAATGCCAATGTTTGCCTTGATAGTTTCAAAGAATTATCAGTATAGGATGTCAATCTAAACTCAACAATCTTCACAACCCAATACTGGTAATTATCATGTGTTCACTATTGACTAGTTTCAACATAGCTTTCATGGGATTCTAATGAGAAGCCATGATCAATAGAGTTCAACCGTGTCTGTTGCGAAACAGTTACCCACTGAAAACGATGGTGGATGGCCACATAATAACGTGGATTTGTTGAAGCTACACATTAACACCATTGGATGCCGTCTTAGTGGTCTAGACGTAAAGCGTTCACGCGCCAGACCGAAGGTCTTGGGTTCAAGTCCCATATGCTTAATCATGTATGTACACTGCCGACAAGTCCCATTCTAGGACAAAACGGCTATCCAGTGCTTTCAGGTTTTCAATGGCAGTCTAACATCAATCCAATATCAATCTAAAGTTTCAAATAAATTGAGTATTGGGTAGAAAGTTAATAATATGTTGAGCAATAATAAAAATGGGTTATAAGCATCATGATAGCCTAAGAAAATATTCCAACATAGTAACTAGATCCAAATCAATAAAAATCATGCAATCGTAAATGTAGGAATAATTAGTTTAAGTATATAGCTAGTGTAGTGCGGTCTACTTATATCCATATAAATAGTATATGGTGATGGTTAGACATAGAATGTATTCTGACAGAATTTCGATAAGGAACGAACAGGAATGAAGCACAATTCGTAGGAAAATGCATGAACAATGGAATCAGAGAAGACAAACTGATATTTACAGAAGAAGCAGTGAAGATTGAGACAATTGGTTGTTATTTTGCAAATTAATTGTTTGCTGTATGGTTATCAGAATTTAGTGAGATAGTCTGTAATATGTGCTTTAATACATTCGATTGTCCCAACTAGTGTTCTCTTCAGAGTTAATATCGTCTATTCGATGTTCTCTAACTGAGAAAAAAGATAAAGGTATTACAAACCTCTTCAAAATATAAAGACTAGAGTTGTTGGCTTGAATCCTTATAGCTTCTATTAAATCTAAGATGGGAGATTAAACACTAATACAAAATTCAAAAATATTCGGCAAATCACTCTGAATGGTTTACTTCTACCTACAACATAACTAGTGTTAATGATTTAAAGAAGCTACATATTGATTTACTCTGATTCTTCCTAAACTATTCAAGGAAGGACTAACTAACTCGCTATTTATGTTATCTCTTGATAACCTCGATATAGAATTATTTACAGGAGCAGCTAAATTGTTAAACATGAACGTTATTGGTTGATTTAATAACTTATAGAGTTGAGATCATGACTCAATTGAAGCTAGACCACCATGGTTGAAGTTAGACATTAACACCGTTGGATGCCGACAGGCTCAGTGGTCTATCGATTAAGTGCTCTAGCGCGAGGCTGGTAAGTCCTGGGTTCGAATCTCAAGAGGCGGGATCGTGGATGCGCACTACTGAGGAGTTCCATAATAGGCCAAAACGGCCGTCCAGTGCTTCCATGTTTTCCACTGTGGTCTAGCTTCAAATGACTCATGATCTTAACTCTATAAAATTACTAAAATCTCCACATAACCCCTTTTGATAATGATTTGATATCTTTTATATTAGTAATATATTAAAGTAAAGACTTATTATCTGACTCTCTAAAATCGATCATTAATAATAATAATAATAATTCTTACCTTGAATGTATTGACTCTTACTCGACTACCTTTATCATCAACCAGATTAAGAAGTAATGGAATAGCTCCAGCATTTAAAGTAGTATAACGACCATGATTTGTTGTACATATACTTAAGAAATTAGATAATAATACAAAAAAAGAAAAAGAAAATACAATCAATCAGTTGTACTTTTGTTCCTGCTTTTGTTGTTATCAAAACCTGGAGATCTTATCTAGTTTTTTCTGTATGTTCACTTGAAAAACCATCCCATGTTGATTTTCTACGAGATGATTGATGAAGATCATATCGTATCGAAATATCTTATTATTAACATAAAGTAGACATGGGACAATCACAATGAATTGCTCATTTGTTAATAGGTACATTCATTGAAATGTTTCCTGGTGTAAGGCAAGTACTAGAATTTCTTAATGGTTAATTTGGACGACTATTTGTATGTAGTATTGTGATGTCTGCTACTTATATTGACAAATATAAGTAGTATGTGATATCAGTTAGAAGTGAAATGGTTAACATCAAAAGGTTGAAAAGATCAAATGGAAGAATACAAGAATATAAACACAAAGTATTGAATGTATGGTCTTCATATTTTATGAAGGCATTCTATAGGTTTATGCTTAACAGTGAATTGATCCTGCCACTTGAGTTCTCAACCATTACATCAAAACACCTTTAACATTTATTTTAACCATTGTTCAAATTAGATTGACCAACCAAAAGAATTCTATCAGCATCAAAGGTAAAATAACCTGACTAATTATTCTATAGTCAATAATTATTCCGGTGAGAAGCAGTAACCAGTGGAGTTCAAACAGGTCTGTTTCGAGATATCAACTCACTGATGAAAATTGGTGAATGGTTGCTCAACTTTGTGGATTGGTTGAAGTTAGACATTAACACCGTTGGATCCCGGCTTAGTGGTCTATCGATTAAGTGCTCGCGCGCCAGATCGATAGGTCCTGAGTTAGAATCTCGTGAGGCGGGTTCGTGGATGCGCACTGCTGAGGAGTCCTACAATAGGACGAAACGGCCGTCCAGTGCTTCCAGGTTTTCCATGTTGATTTAGCTTCGGTTGACTCATGAAAAATTACTTAAAATCTCCACAAACAACCCCAATTATTATAATACTTGGTTAAGCTACTTGTATAAACATTTATGAACTAGATGAGCTTAAATGCAACATTCTTGAAATATGAGTGAAAGATTCAATGAATAGGTTGGATAAGAAATCTGATCCTTGAAGTTGAAAGTGTGGCCTAGGCGGACAAGGGGCCAACAAGGACGCTAGACTACCCATACTGGTCGAATGTCGTTGGTTTGGCACAGTGTTAAGATTAGAAAAGTCGTATTTCGATTAGTGGATAATTCACGTGATTAAAACCCGGAGATAATATCAAAACGAATTGAATACGGCTTTGTTTTGTTTTGTTTTTAATTCACAACAGAATGAATTGGTCAACATGAATGACAAGTAATATTCATTTACAATTGACAATAATTATAACTTACAAACCTAATGCTCCAGTAGAAAATGCTTTCAAATCTTCATTTGGATCATTTAATAGAGTAACTAATGCTGGAATTGTTTCATTATCCAGAGCTTCTTGTTTACCTCTTAGATTCACACTATGATTTAAATAATATATATATACATCAAATTTACGAAACATTTTTGTCTCATGTTATGCAATAATTACATTTTCTTAAGTATTCATATTAGCATGAATTCAAATTACATTTCAAACATTATTATCTCTACTCATCTAAATGGGAGGCAAAATCCGACTTACACGTCATCGTCGTACCTCCTGGATCATGACAACCACCCCATGTACTAACGTGGGCGGTAACGTGAGTGGTAGAGATTGGCCTAATCAATCACTCTACCTATACCCACAAACGATTACGAATGCTACAAAGAGTCATTGCATAACTATTGAAGGTTCAAAAAGATAGTAAAAAAACGAGTCTGTCCACAAACAAACAAACAAAAGAATGAAAGTGTTATGTATTGGTTCTGCGTAAGCAGTGCAAAAACAGCTATCCCGCCCCGGTATTTGTGCTATGCTTCGATGTGGTACTCTTCTCCAAAAAGGCCTACTAGGCTTCACTATGTTCCTATGGCTGGAAGAGGGGGGTACCACTCATTTAAATAAATTCATAAATGAAAATTTTTACTTTTGCAATTGGTTTGCTTGTTTATATTTACATCAATATGAGATTTTGTACAACAGATTACTGCACACAATTAATGACAGTTTGCTAACAGTTATTATTTCACAATTACTGCATTTGCAAAGATATATGTACTCGCTTCGGCGGTACGTATACTAAAATTGTAACGATACAGAGAAGATCAGCATGGCCCATGCGCAAGTATGACAAGCGAAATCGTGAAGCGTTCTATAATTTTCACACTCTATTCTCGTAGAACAAATCCTTACTTCCTGTCATCACAATCACTCAGTGTGGTGGCTGATGCTATGGTGTCCACTCACTCTCCATCCTCCCTGATTCACTAAAAGTGGGCTGCGCGACTGGTTCTCAGAGTGACGGTCGACTGACGAGTGGTGATCTGTAGTGATTGGGTGGTGACATTTACTAGGCGGTTGTTCGATCTTATCACTAACTAAGTGACCAACATGACTCATTGAACAACAGTGAAGAGATCGTGTAAAGATAAAGCTCTAAAACGTTTATGAATCCGAAACAGTTTCAGTACAATTTTTAACGGTTTCCTTAATTTACTAGTTAAAATTAGAAACAATACTTTATTGTATTCGGTTAGGTTCCAATATTAAAATATAAAGGAAAAGTGGCCTAATCATTATATGGATATATAGTTTCCCAAATAATAATTTTTCAATTTGGAAATTGTTTAATGTTCTGTTTCTTACAATTATTGATATCATGAACCAACCTAAATTAAACAATCGTTAAAAACCTGAAAGCACTAGGCAGTTGTTTTCTCTACGTATGATACTCCTCAGGAGTGCGTATCCAAAGCCCCACCAAAGTGGGTCTACACAACCCCCATTTGGTAATTAGTATGTGCTAACTGATGACTAGTTTCAAAACAGAATTCTCAGAGTTCTGATGAGAAGCCATGATCATGAGTATGAAGATCATGGGTTCAATTCTTGGCTGTGAGATTGTGGGTGTCCATTACTGAGGTCCAATAATAGAACGTAACAGCTATTCAGTGTTTTCAAGATTTAATGTTTGTTCAACTTAGTTTGGTACTTGATCTCAATAATATTCAACAAGAGGTATGATAATTACAAAAATACATAACTATAAGATAGTCATTTGTTATACGTAGTTACCCTATGCGAGGAAAACCGATAATTATTTTTTATCAAATAACTTCTATTGAAAAATATATGTACTGTGCTTGACGAACCATTTAACTGCAGTAAACTAAATCGATTGAAGATATCAGGAAGCATACTTCAGAAAACATTAAATCACCTACCATAAACGCAAAATATTTTGAGCTGCACGTGTTCTGATTTCTGTGTTTGAATGACCGAGAAGTTTAGTAAACAGCGATATCCCGCCGGCGTTTAATCCTTCTTCGGTTTCAAAACTGAAGCAGTGATATAAAGTGTTCAATACAATAATCTAGATTTAGAGGAATAAAGATTATGACAACATGCTAACCTTAATTTCATCCACTTCATTCTCAACACATTTCACTAATAAGTCAATGTATTTTGCTTTAATGATTGCCTCTACACCTGTCAAATTCGTAGTCAAAAGCTCGATAGCTCTGTGCGTATTTAGTCTGATTACATCAGGTTGTTTGAAATCTAGAAGAGGCTCGAAAGACTCCAAAATATTGTGCCTCAACGCAGCCATTCGACCTATTGCGTGTTCTGTTTTGAAAATAAAAATTATTTCACAACCTACGGCTTATGATTACAAAACATTCTGTTGAATACACCCTACAAGGTATGTCGGCGTCTTTTAACAAAAAGCTCAATGAACAAATAGTGCCTATATAAAGTGGTTTAATGAGAAAGAAAAGTCACAGTATTACCTTCATTAATTGCTTCTTCAATATGCTCAGGATCGTGCAGATAATCACATAAAGCTTTAACAGCGCGTTGGCGTATTATTAGTTCTGTATCTTTCAATTCTCTATTCTTTTAAATTTTAATAAAAGTTAAATTGCTAACAAATAGTGTATACAGATATTGCTTGGTAAAATAGGGAATAGTATGCATGAATTTATTAAATCAGGACAAGTTCTTTCAAATCAGATGAAAATTAGTTAACTACCTGAAATTATGTCATACTTTACATTCAAACTTATTTAACCCTATAATGAAGATTTCGAGGAATATTTTCCCCAACCTTAGGGGTAATATAAACATCAATCCTACAAAGATGATAAACAGTGATGAAGATGTTTGATTCTGGTACTAATCGAAACTATGAGAAGGCTGGATAAATAATCTTCTTTACATAGCCAGAACCAAAATAAACAAGCCAAAAGCTAATCCTGCTCTGATTTTTATTCTATCGCATAAAGTGAACCTGTAAAAATCCAACTGATCCTACTTCTAAACTGTTAGTTGTGTTTAATACTGCGCATTTACAAGTTCTTGTATACTTCGCCATTATTTTAAAATATTGATTTCCGCCTTCTCATTAGTCACAAATCTCAAAAAGCATATCATTTAACTACCACGCCCCAATTTAGTTCTAAATAGACTTTTATTCTACAATTTTCAGTTACCAGCAAGCTGAAATTTAAGTTTTTTGAATTTTTTAACAACGAATAAAACACTCAAACCCTGTAGTTGGAGGTTGATAAAGGTTGTGACTAAGTCAACAAAGATTATATGAATACGATATTTGACTTTCAAGTAGCCGATCGCTCCAAAAGGTCGAGGATTACTCATCTCCGTGTTTTTGAATGTGCTTGTTCTAAACACTGGCTGGTGTAGCATGGAAAGCCGCAGAAGTACCTATGAACCTGAACTTCTAATAACTACAAAGCAAACCAATGATATTTTCAAAATTTATATAAAAGAACTGAATTAAGAGGTATTTAACAATAAAGACTAACAATAAGACTATGGCATACAAACCCAGGATTTTCATGACCAGTTAGTCATGAACAACACCGGGCTTGGTACGCTGGTTAAAGCTATCACAGTGAAGTCGGTTGATGCAGCAGTTTTGGTAAAAACAGTAGTAATGGAAGTAGAATTCTACTTTGGCTTAAGCCAAAATCCAAGACCTGTTAATTGTTATCTAGTTGGTTCGTTCATAAGTTATAGTCTCGCCGTAAGTCCACAGACACTTAAAGTTTCTTTATGAAGTCTAATAATCCTTCCCAACATCATCACCTAAGCCATTTTACAATAGCTCGTACAGAAGAATTGTTTTCGGTTGGTATCTATCGATATGTGTATATAAACATTAGCCAGCATGAGTTTTGAGTGTTTAAACGTACAATCCTTTTTATGGCTAACCTCCCGTAGGCTAAAGTAGCCTTTGTTGGATCAACGTTCGGAGGCGGTTTCAAACTTATAGTCGCCAGTGCCATTTTGATTATTCGCCACAGGAAACCATGGTGAGAATGTATAGATATTCAGTATTTAATATCTATTAAAACAATGTACTTGTTATATCTTTTCACGAGCTCATATAATCCGACTGTTTACTTTGCTCCTGTTTCTTGTTGTTTTCGCACAGTCCCAGGTATTTTATCATGTCCAGGTGGTAGTAGTCTAGCCACCCGACTGCACTACTTATAATCATTAAGGTGGTTATTTATGGATTTGTATACCATGTACTTGAGTGAGTGTGTTCGCCCCAAGGTGGTACGATTTCCGGATAACGGCAGGTGTCACACTACCGGACAGAAGGTTGGTTTATTAAAATGTGGAAACAACAAAGTGATGATTCAAATGACAACTGTTTCAAGAATATCTTGACAATTTACTTGATTGATAATGTGTAAGAAGACAGGTTCGAAAGATGAGAAACCGAGATGGTATTAACCAACAAAGAAAGTAGCTTCTTGTTATGCAGTAGTGACAATCATGGCAATTAACCCTCTTACCCTAAGGTACATTATGTTGGTAGGCATTCTGAGTGGTGTCACATACTATATTCCAACAGTCATCCACTGTTGACCTCCACCACTTTCGTGACTATGCGTAGTGTGGAAGGTGCTCCCTAAAAGTCGTGTAGTCTTCCGTGGTGTATCTATGGTAGGAAACACTCACTTCCCTCCCTTTAATCTCTTTCGTGTTGTAGCTGTAAATAATTCCCCAAAATCAATAGCTCATTAAGTGTTCGACATTGGATGCTGACCACGTTGTTTAAGTGGACTTGTTTAGCTGAAGGCTTTCGGTCATGCATCCGCACCAGATCACGTTTCAATACTGCGTGGGACACAGCTCCTACGTTTCATTAGCCAGCTCATAGAAAAGGTCCTCGATATATTGGTAACGAATCAAATATATCTTTCCTGCCTATTCTCGTCCGACTTCTGATTTCTATCTGACTGGGAACAACCGAATTTAGAAGATGCTACTGGTATCTAGTTGTAAAACTAGAATATCCGTTGCATCATCATTGGTGAACCCGACGTGATCTGGTACACCAAGTCAATATACTGTGAGTCTGTTCCATTTTGGAATATTATTATTTATTGTTATTCTTTATTTGAATTTTATATATTGTGATATACCTTTTTTTTCTCGGATATATTTTACTTAGACATTTTTCGTTATCTATATTACTATGACGGAACACTCTCCTTAGGTTCTTAAGTTAAAGTCTATTCCCCCTATTTCGATTCAGTTAACGCCATTTTGGCCCGACAATATCGAGTCCTGGTTCTGCTATGCAGAAGCCGATTTTTGCATGCACGGAATCACGGACTCGCGCACACGTTTCCTCGCGGTAGTTAAGGCGTTACCGCGCGAGTTTAACAAGTACGTAACACCTAGTATGTTTACTAGTGATGTTTCCGAACCTTACGAATCGCTTAAGCTATCGATTTTAAAACGAGGAGACCTAACTGATCGACAACGGTTAGACCAACTCCTTAACAATATCGACTTGCAACATGGTTCTGCGACGGACATGTTGCTTAGAATGAGAGAAGTCATCGGCCAACGAACTTTCGATGATGGCCTATTTAGACAACTTTTCTTGTCTAAACTCCCTCAACAGGTGCAGGCAGTGCTTGTTTCATTTCAAAACAATGCCATAGATGAACTAGCTGCATCTGCCGATCGAATCTTGGAAATCACTAGATCTTCTAAGGCCGAGGTTTTTTCCGTCAAAGAAAAACCCCAATCGACCTCGACTGACATGGCCGAACTATGTCACACGCTTACACGATATCTTAGAGTTCGCAATGACCGTAGTCGGTCAAAAACCCCGCGTAGAAGCGCCTCACGTAAGCGATCTGGCTCTCGACCACGAGAGACAGACAATCCCGACTGGTGCTGGTATCATAACCAGTACGGTAAGTTTTCCAGAAACTGCAGGAAACCTTGTAATTATCCGACCCCAAAATCGAGTGACACGAAAAACAGTTCGGGAAACTTCCCAGCCGGCACGCGTTAACGGCAACCGTAGCCGGCGAACACAGCCGCCTCTTATATGTCACGGATGTGACTACGAAAGTTCGCTACCTCGTCGACACTGGCGCAGAAGTTAGCGTTCTTCCAGCAAATCCCGACGACAGACTTCGCGAGTCTGTTTTAAGTTTACAGGCGGCAAACGGAAAGCCGATCGCTACTTACGGTAAAAGGTATGTCTACCTTAACGTGGGTTTACGTAAACCCATACACTGGATTTTCGTGGTTGCAGATGTCTCTATGTCAATCATTGGTATTGACCTGTTACAACACCACAATCTACTCATCGACACACGCTCACGAAGGTTAATAGACGGAAACACTAAGTTGTCCGTTTGCGTAACTCCTTGTTCTGGTTGCAGGTTATCCCCAGTCACGATTAAGCACGCCATAGACCCCTTGTACCAAGCAGTACTCGACAAATAATCCGGGATATACCAATCGCAATCGAAATTACCTTGTGTAACCAGCAATGTTACACATCACATCTCGACTACAGGACCACCTGTATTTTCGAAAGCCCGAAGACTCGCTCCCGAAAAACTTAGGTTAGCTAAAAACGAATTCAACCACATGATGGACCTAGGAATAATTCGACCATCGAATAGTCCATGGGCATCCCCATTGCACATGGTCCCTAAAAAGGACAGCAATGATTGGCGGCCAACTGGTGATTATCGGCGTCTGAATGCTAAAACCATTCCCGATCGTTACCCGCTGCCTCATATTCACGATTTGACAGCTACCTTGAAAGGTACAACTGTCTTTTCGAAAATCGACTTGGTTAAAGCTTATAACCAAATCCCGATGGCAACTGACGACATTCCTAAAACCGCCATCATCACTCCCTTCGGTCTTTACGAATTTCTACGAATGCCTTTCGGTTTAAGAAACGCGGCTCAAACATTCCAAAGGTTTATAGACGACGTCTTCCGAGGTCTCAACTTCGTACATGCGTATGTTGATGACTGTCTAATAGCAAGTCCGGACGGAGAATCGCATCTCAAGCATCTGGACATTGTTTTCGATCGACTTCAAAGGCATGGCATTACTGTCAACATTCAGAAATGCCAAATCGGAACTAACTGCTTAGACTTCTTAGGACACACTATTGATGCTCAAGGCATCCGACCACTTAGGAGCAAAGTGGCGGCCATTCTGGATTACCCAGAACCGACCACGATCAAGCACTTACGAACTTTCAACGGATTCGTAAGTTTCTATAGACGGTTCATACCTAAATGCGCATCCCTAATGAAACCGTTAACCGATCAGCTTCGTGGAAATGCGAAATCAATTAGTTTAGACGACATAGCTCGTAAAGCATTTTCCACAGTTAAGGAACACATCGCCAAAGCAACCTTGCTTGCTCATCAGGACAGTCAAGCGCCCATTAGTATCGCCGTAGACGCATCCGACTCAGCAATCGGAGCAGTCTTACAACAATGGGTTAACAACTCGTGGCAACCTTTAGGATTTTTCTCGAGACGGTTGCTAGACGCTGAATCTAGGTACAGCACGTTCGGTAGGGAACTCCTAGCTATGTATTGTGCTGTACGGCATTTTCAACATTCCATCGAAGGAAGAGAATTCACGCTCTTTACCGATCACAAACCTCTTACCTTCTCTTTAAGTTCATCTTCAGACAAGTACTCACCACGAGAGTCTCGACAACTCGACTACATTTCGCAGTTTACTTCAGACATACAACATATTTCTGGAGCACACAATGTAGTCGCAGACGCCTTGTCTCGAATTAGCTCCTTGAACAGTTTCCAAGGAATCGACCTTCTTAAACTCGCTCAGCTTCAAAAAGAAGACATTGATCTTCAGCATGAGTTATCCTCGACAACTCTTAAACTAAGTATTAGGCAGATGGGAACAGGTAAGGAAACCTTACTCTGTGACACATCTACAGGTAGGGATCGTCCAATTGTACCAAAACACTAACGCCGCAACGTCTTCAATACGTTGCACAATCTTTCTCATCCAGGTGCTCGTGCAACAATCGAACTTATAGCCGAACGCTTTTGTTGGCCTGGCATGAATAAAGACGTGAGGGAGTGGTCACGCTCCTGTGTAAGCTGTCAGAAATCTAAGGTAATCAGACACAACAAATGTCCCTTAGGTTCTTTCAAAACCCCTGACGCTCGTTTCGACCACGTCCATCTAGATTTGGTAGGACCCTTACCCGACTCGAACGGATACTCATATCTCCTAACATGCGTAGACCGTTTTACTCGATGGCCAAAAGCAGTACCGATTAAGGACATTGCTGCTGAAACAGTGGCTCGCACTTTCGTCGAACGATGGGTAGCAAATTTCGGCTGCCCTTCAACCATCACTACAGACCGCGGACGCCAGTTCGAATCTGGACTTTTCCGTTGTCTGACCACACTTTTAGGAATCACGCGCTTCCGAACGACCGCCTACCACCCACAAGCAAACGGGTTGGTAGAACGTTTTCATCGACAATTAAAAGCTTCATTATCAGCTTCAAACGTTTCACAGTGGACAGACGCTCTTCCACTCGTCTTGCTAGGTATCCGCAATGCAGTGAAAGCTGACATTGGATACACGGCATCTCAACTCGTTTACAGAACGACACTCCGACTCCCAGGAGAATTCGTGGATCCTTCAGCTTCTTCATTGAACATGGATCTAAACTCTTACACGAGTAGGCTTACAAACGCTATGCGTTCAGTTAAACCTGCTCACACTCGACCTCAATCAACTGATGTTTTCGTTCAACCCGAATTACGACATGGTACACACGTCTTCGTTCGTCGAGACTCACATCGACGACCCCTCGAATCAGCATACGAAGGACCCTTCAAAGTTCTTCAACGCGAACCTAAGTACTATGTAGTTGATAAGAACGGTACGAAAGATAGCATCAGTATCGATCGACTCAAAGCTGCGTACCTAGAAGGAAACCCTAGCTACGTCGATTTTCCTTCGGTACAAGCAAACGACACAGCT